TTAGGTAACTTCTGGTTCCCGCAAAAATCTCTTTTCAAAAAAGGAATTTTTCTTTTTTTTTTTTTTTTTAAGTACCAGAGGGCATGTTGCTGGCCACAGACAGAGAAACAGAGAAGGGAAAGGAGAAAATATCCCCCTGAGGTGGCATGGTCATGCTGCTATCCCTTCTCCATTCTTCCATCCTGTCAGGATTTGGGGAATTCATGGACACATGCCTGGCATGTTTTTCAACTTCCAGGACCTGGACTCAAACCATCAGGTCACCCATGTGGGATCTGACTCTCTTAACCCTCGGGCTGGCCATGTGGGATCCCGCTCACTGCACACAGTGTTTACCTGCTGCACCACAGGGCCAGCCCCTGAACATGTCTAACTGCTAGACTGTTCATAGACAAGTTCCAGTTTTTGCCATTTTAAGCCTTAATTTAAAGAACTTTCCTTTCTGAGGCTAGCAGGTGGCATAGCAGTGAAGGTGCTAGACTCTCACTTGGTTGACCATGGCTCAAGCCCTGGACCCAGTGGCTTAAAACTCCCACCAGGCATGTGTGCCTGCATGCTAAAAATCCTTAAAGAAGAATGGAGGAGTAGGGATTGCGGCATGACCATCTCCCCAGGGGGTCATTTCTCGCTTCCTGTCTCTCTTTGTCTCTCCAAGGAGCACAAGTGCCCTATAGCAAAAATCTCTAAAAAAAATAAAAACAAAAAGTTTCCTTTCTTGGGCTGGCCCATGACCTGGTGATGGTTAAGAAAGCCAGATTCCACGTGGCCAACTCTGCAGTTTGAACCCTGGACCAGAAGCTTGAAAAACATGCCTGCCATGTGTACATGCATGTCCCTCCTTCCCTCAGGAAACCTGTTCGACTGTCCCCCCAGGTCGGGACACGTGGCACCCAAACAGGGACCCTGAGTACAAAGGATCCAATGAAGAGCACCCAAGAAGGGGACTGCAAAGAATCGTCCCGAGCACCAAAATAAAGAAAAAGGCCGTGGCAGAAAATAGAAGAGGATGGCAGAGAATCGTACTGAGAAAGGATGGCAGAGAATCCTCCAGTAGGGCACGGCAGAGAATCATCCAGGAGAGGACAGCAGAGAATCGTCCTATGAAGGGATGGCAGAGAATTGTCCAGTAGGGGACGACAGAGAATCATCCCGAGAAAGGCTGCAGAGGAGGACGGCAGAGAATCATCCCAGTAAGTAACAAAAGTTGCTTACTCATAAGTAATAAGGGTAATAATGGGACAAGAGCTTAGTCAGCATGAACAAGAGCGTAGTCAGCATGAACGAGAGCTTAGTCAGCACAAACAAGAGCTTAGTCAGCACAAACTATTCGTTCAGGGCTTAAAAGAAGCCCTTGCCACTATGGTCGATCTAACCAAGGATTCTAAAATTGAAAAAGATCAGGGAGAGGGTCTTATTTCCCTTGATAGTGAGGAAGAAGTTAAAAGCCCTGAAGGCAAGACAAAACCCAAAAAATCCAACCGAAAAAGAAAAACAACCTTAATGCTTTACAAGAGCCAAAGAAAAACGAGTCAAAAACTGGGTAAGGTTTTTGGACAATGTGCTGCTGTTTATCATATTTCTATATGGTCTCTGCTTGGGGGTGGTTATGTGTTTATCATCAACCTTATTCCACTGCATGTGTTTGTGTTGTTACTGATGCAGAGAGTCTACATAGCATATAGCACTTTCTTTTTTTTTTTTTTTTTTTGAGAGATA